TTTTTTTTCTATGTGCATTTATTTTGTTTATTGCTGATTTATTGATTCTTGCTTTGTGTTTGTATTTGTTCTTTAGTCCATATTTGCTTTTGTGTTTCTGTATTTGTTCTTTAGTCCGTATTTGCTTTTGTGTTTCTTGTATTTTTGTTTCTTATGGTTTAACCTTGTTTTAGTGTGATTTTTGCTTTATCTATATTTCTTTTTGCTCAGCTTGACCTGGGTTTGTTTGTATTTGTTTACTTTATTGGTATGTTTATATGAAATTGTAAGGAACATCCACCTCGATTTGATGAGACATTTAACCTCATAGTAGGTGTTTTGATTTTCTTTTGGATTTTGTATTTAAGTGTAAGCATTGTACAATTGTTAGCATTATTTCTTTTGTTTGAGATTATTTGGTTAATTTTGTCTTCTATTGCAGGAACCGAGGCTTCCAGGCAGGCCGGTAGTAGGCCCTCGTGTGTGGTGGTGAGACTCTGTCACGGAGTGCAGTGTTCACGATTAATCTTAGTGTGTGTGTGTGTGTGTGTGTGTGCGTGTGTGTGTGTGTGGTGTAGTGAGACCTATGCACCTGGTGGTTAGATTTTTGCAATATAGGAGCCTCGCACTCCGTAAACTAGCTTACCTGCCATAGGTAAGCCTCGGTTTTTGTTTGTTACGTGTGTATTCTATGTTTAAATCTAATCCGGTTTAATGATTTTTAAGGTTAGTATTTTATTGTTGAAATAAAGCTTTTGTACTTTGGTATCCACGTCTCAGGCCTCGGTCTTTGAAACCACATACCTGTGTGTCCTTTATAGGTGACCAATTCATAATTTATTTTCCCAGTTGGACAGGGTGGCGTAGTCAGCTAAATTTAGAGTTCCCTTTCCGATTATCACTCCCGCTACATTCTGGCGTAGTCGGCAGGGTCGTTTCTCTCTTTGGGGCTGAGACGTGGATGTTTATTGTTATTTGGGTAAATGCTTTAACAGTGATTGTGGATGGATTAGTCTGTTTTTTTTCTTCTCTCTTTTTCTTTTATTTTTTTTGTCTAGTGTTGGGAACAAAGCAGCAGTGTCATTTCAGTGAACTTGGAGCATTCCAGCAGTGGGTTCCCTATTTGTTTATTGATTTGTATTGTGATTGTTTGGGTAAGTATAAAAAAATTAAATAAATAATAAATAAAAAAATATAAAAAATAAAAAATGTAAGAGGAATTGAGGGAATTGAGGGAACTTGTTGCTCAGCTAAAGGCGGATAATGAAAATTTGCGCCAGGAGCAGAGCCATGCTGCCCCCTCCAGTCCAATAGCTGGCCCTTCTCGGGAATTTTCAGTGCCATCCACTGGTCAATCAGTGGGTGCTAGTGCCACATTAACCGAACGACTTGTGTTTATCCCGAGGGATAGAAAATGTCCAATATTTGATGGTAGATCGGGTATTGGCATTAATGAGTGGATCGAGGAAGCAAAAGCTTGTATAAGAACTCGTCATTTGTCAGTGGCAGATCAGGCGTTTTTCCTATTTGATCATCTAGGAGGGGACGCGCGTGAGGAGGTTCGGCATCGCTCTGTTTCTGAGCGCGGAGACCCAGAGAAAATTGTTTCCATTTTGCAAGAGCTATATGGATGTTCCCAGTCTTATGTTGCCCTGCAGGAAGCCTTTTTCTCTTGGAGGCAATGGGAGGGGGAAACCTTGTTGGAGTTCTCCTTGGCCCTGATGGGCCTCCTAGAGAAAATGAGGCAGAAAACCCCTACTGGCATGCCAAATGCGGAGATTTTATTAAGAGATCAATTTGTCGAATATGTTTGCGACACCTCCCTTCGCCGTGAACTGAAACAATTGGTTCGTCGCCAGCCCCATTCTACACTCTTGGAGGTGCGTGGCGAAGCTATTCGTTGGGAGCGCGAGGGAACGCCGGGCGGTGCAAGGGGTCGAAGCCTTTCTGTTCCTTTGGCACATGGGTTTCAGTATGAAGTACAAGGGCATTGTAGCTCGTCTCAGAAGTCTGAAATGGGGGAGCTTAGAGAAATGTTAAAGTTACAACAGGAGCAATTAAATCAGCTCACCCAGAGTATTGCCCGTTTGCAGGGTCCTCATTCTCGCCCTCGTACTCAATCTTTTCGTAGTGGACCCATTATCTGTAGGCGGTGTCAAAAACCTGGCCATTTTGCATGGGAATGTGAGGGGGAACGTGTTATGTCACTTTTGCATCCTCATGTTGATCAAGCAGTTGGAGGTGGGCAGCCGCAAGCTAATAGAACGTCGGAAAACTAATTCCCGCCGTGCTGAAGAGCCACAGCTCGGCTGGGAAAAAGACTGGCTCTGACGGTAAGAAATCCAGTTTAATTCCAAATTTAATGTCCCCCTGCCCGCATCTGGATGTTTTAATCGGTGGTGTGTCGGTCCCTTGTTTAATTGATACCGGTTCAATGGTATCGACCATTACGGAAAGTTGCTTCATTCAACATTTTGAGCCATGGGGTCAAGAGCGCTTGAGGTCATGTTCATGGTTGCAACTAAGGGCTGCAAATGGGCTTTCAATCCCATATATTGGTTATATGGAGTTGGACATTGAGCTCTGTGGTAGGATGGTACCACGATGTGGGGTGCTGGTGGTCAGGGATCCTACTGGTGGCTTACGCTCTCGAGTCCCTGGTGTATTGGGGATGAATGTACTCGGGCGATGCT